ACTTTGATCAAATGACAGTGAACAAAGCCAGCCCAAGCTGGTAAGGTGCTGTTCACCTGAACAGGTGCTGTTGTGCAGAAAGGAAACTCTGTGACTAATTTAGATAGTGGCTTTCCTTCTTCTGGATTCTTTTCCTTGAATTCTCACAGTATATATTTACGGAGTTTCAAATTGCAGTAAATATACTGTATGAGAAAATATTAATACAGATAAAAAGCATTTCTTACATCCTGAAAATTTTCTAATACTTGAGAATTTCACAGGGATGTTTTTTATATTGGACCCTTTTGACTTTCCAGTCCTGTGACTTTCTACTTTTAGTAGAGAGTCAGAATCTCTGGACTGGAGAATTATGAAGAAGTTCACTGACTGTGCACTGTGCTTAGAGACCCTGCCGCACCACAGTGCCAATGCTTGTCAGACACATGCCCTTCGGCAGCATTCCAGAACAGGAGGGAAGAGAAAGAGAAAACTCTTTCTTCCCTTCTACTAAAAGATTCAGGCAGCTTAAAACCTTAGTGCTTTCTTTCTTAACAAACCCAAATTTCAATTCTTTCCATTGTTTGAACACTTGGGTAGAACTCTCGCTTTGTATTAAACCTCCTTGTCTACACGTGTAAAACTGACCTTTTGTTATTGAGCAGGCCTCTCTCTTTCAGCTAGTTTGATGATTCACACACAGGTTTGAGGACGCTGGGGAGAAGGGGAGGGGCTGTGGTGGTGTTCTGTTGGTTACAAGAAAGTTATACCATTTAAAGCTGGTACCAGAGACCTGATAGGGACTTATTAACTATATTGAACATTTTTTCCTTTGCCTTTGACCCTATGTATAGTTATTATGCCAGATTAGATTTATAGCAGCTTCAAGTTGTATTAAATGATATTTTGCTTCCTGTAATACTGTTACAAAATAAAGTTTGTTTATTCTCTAAACTTGTCACTTCTCTTTTTCTAAAGGTTTTTTAAAAACAAACTCGAGTGATTTTTTCATCAGAAGTCTTAGTATTTTGTGAAAAGTAGCATTTCAAAATCTGTTTTCAGCTCTTCTGTAATTTGATGATGCTGCCAACATCACTATTTGAAACGGTGAAAGCGACGTTGAAAGTTTGTAAATGTAATGTTTAACGTGCCAGATTCCTTCTGCCTGGTTACATAATCCATTCCAGCTTTTACAAATTCTCCAAGGGATATTTTCGCTTGTTTTCTTTGTGCATTTTTCATTTTGTTTTCAGGAAATATTTCAGCTGTACCATCTGAATCTTGCTCCTCTGCTTCATGTCCTTCTTTACTTTGTGTCCACTGGCCCTCTGTGTTTCAGGCAAACTAGGCCCCTGAGGGGCTGCATCCCAGTCTGATTGGGATTCTTTCTTGTAAAAGTTTCGTTGGGGCACACTGGGTTATGGTGCTGTTATCGAGCAAATAACCAACAGGGTACGTTTCTTGTGAAGTGTTATATAGAATTTTTTTCTCTAGTCATTTAAAGTAAGTACATTAAATACAATTTGCATAACTGTCGTCTTTGAGATCTGTTTCCACTAAATTATCTCTCGCCTTGTGAAAGGCCTTTCTCACTTTCTCTATAATTATTACAAAAACAACAACTCCCTGGAGAATCCAGTCTCAGCAAGCTAAGCCTCAGAAATACTGTGGAACCAAATGTGATTTTGCAAATGTATGTCTCATCAGAAAGTTTGTATAACACTCATTGAAATCATCGGTTGAGCTTCCCTGGGTGTCTTGAAGACCATATTTGCAGTGACAGGAAGAAAGTTTGTCGTCACAGATCCTGTGGACTAAGAAATTTAGTGTGCGGGGATTAGGGCTCAGTTTTATTCAGCTGAGACAGCAAGAATAGGGTTTAGGGCTCAGGGGCCATTGAGAGAATCTGTGGGAATTAATACCCACAGAGCCACTTGAAACAGTGGTGGTAATTATTCCCACCTGTGACTACAGGCACACGGCTGTCTTTGAAAAGAAAATTGTATTATAAAATGTTTCTCTGGCTGTTATAATCTCATCTGGTAAACTGGGCTAAATGATAGAATAAATAGGAAAGAAAGTAGATCAATAAGATTTTGGAACTCGGATTTGAAAAATTTGAAAAGTGGAAAGAATATTTTTAAGTCCCCAATCTGTTTGATGGTAATTATACATTGGATGGTATTTTTGAGTACATGTTTTCTGCTGTCTTCTGCTTGTCACTCACATGTTAGACTGTGTGTCATTGCCTACATTGTGGTAAATTCGAGGCCTCTTCTGACTGGCACACCAATTATAAAGTCAGAAAGCAAGAATCTTGTGAGCATGCTTTGAAAATTATAATAACTTTTTCGTAAATAGAAATCAGAAAATCTATTTTCAAAACGTGCTTAATGTCGTGAATTCTGAGAGTTATCAGAGTTCTGAATTTTGATGGTTATCAGAGTTGTGAACTCTGATTTCTGATACTCAGTCTTGCCAAAGAACTTGAGATTTCAACAAAAAGCTGTTCTTATTATCTAGGAATATTTACCTCTTCTGAATTTTCCAGTCGCTAAATTATGTCTGGAAAACTCTGGAGGCTGTTACCTGGCCAGATTATTTTTTAAAAAGGTTTGCAAATAATATTTCAGAAAACATAAAATTTCTGTTTTATCACCTAGGTTTAGGATGTCGAGCAGTCATGGACCTGCAGTTTCCCAACACCAAATTGCCAAATTACCAACATGATTATCAAGAGGGATAGAAAGATAATATTTACAGCTTTGAGTTCATTTTATTACATTTTTAGCTGGTCACAGTGGCTCATGCCTGTAATCCCAGCATTTTGGGAGGTAGAGGCAGGAGCATAGCTTGAGGCCAGGAATTCAAGACTAGCATGGTCAACCTACGGAGACCCTGTATCTACCAAAAAAAGAAAACCAAAAACAAATCCAAGTGAGGCTGTGCACTCCTGTCCTGTAGCCAGAGGCTGAGGTAGGAGAATCACTTGAGCCCCAAGAGTTTGAAGTTTCAGTGAGCTATGATTGCACCACTTCACCCCAGCCTGAGTGAATAGCAAGACCCTGTCTCCAATATATTATATAATATGTACATATTTTATATATATATATATATATATATATATGGTTTTTGGTAAATTTATTGAAAAATAATGACAATGTGACAGAAATTAAGGCACCTATTAAAGTGTTTTATTGAAGGTCTCCAGTTGGAGAAACATTATCCCTATTGGTGAACTGTCTCAGATTAGAAACTGTTGAAATAAGATTAGAAACTGTTGTAGTGAGACCATTTAGGGTTGTGGGAGCATTTCTGGCCCCTGGTGAAAGGCCTTGGAGCATAGGTTGCAGCTGAATGTAGGATTATGTAGGGAGATTGCCGACTTGTTCTAGGTGGAGGCCAAGACAGCTTGTTTTGGCAGCAGGAATGCAAAGGACCAAAGCAGTTCAGGCCTGAATGAGATCTTAAACTGGACCTATGAGAATGAGAAGAGCAAAGGTATGACTGTGTGGCTGCTTGGGAAAGCTGTGCTGGATAAAGGATTTGACAAATTTGTTAGCAGTGCCTTCAGGAAGATGATAAACCCTGGAGACTTGTTCCTTAATGGGAAAATGAACGTGTTTCTGCTCCTCTCTACATATAAAAAACATTCATGAATCTAGTCAGTTTCATTGGAGATTCTCTACTTTCATTGGATGGCAGAGAAAGAAACGGGTCTTGCTCTGAAGTACTTGGTAGTGCTTGGTGCTAAAAACATGTCTGTATAGAGCTCATCTGTTATTACAATAGCTCTGGACCAGCACCTGCCAGAGCCGGAATTGGGCTTCTAAAGTGCCCATTATTAGAGGAAGATGGAGCAAACCTTGATAGCTGAGCCATGGATTTGGCTGGCAGCTGCCTGAGATAGGAAGATGATGTGTCCTTTCACACTTACTGTTAAAGAAAGCATTTTTACATAAGCTGATTTCCACCAGGGGCTAAAAAGAGATCTCTCCTAAAACTGAAAGAATATTGTTATTCCTTCCATATGGCAAGAGCACTGTTATTCTGAATTAGTTCAGTCTGAAAACCCCAGCAGACATTTTCATTGTAATCAAGGGCAGTAAAATGCAGAAATGAGTGTCTTTATTCTAGCAATAAGTTTTATATTATGCAAGAAGTGCAAATGGAGACTACTCACGGAATGGGTATCAACAATTTTAGGGTGGGGCTGAGGGGAAGAAGCAGTAAAAATCCAGCACTGGTGGTGTATTATTGCTTTGGGTCATCCACACAACCTTTTGTATGACTGTAAGCCACCACTGAAACGGGCATTTCTTACAGGTGACCACATTGATTATGTTTTATAAAGTGGATCACTCAACCTGTTAGTGTCCTGCACAAAGATTGGAACGTAACCAGTCTTACACTTAGAATGCGTTGAACACCTTTGATTTATGTTAACTGGAAGAATGTGGGGAGCACAACAGTAACCACAATCCAGTTTAACTACCCCTAGAATTAAGTTTCTTTTCAATTACTATGTTGTCTCTTTGGGGCTCCCACTGAAAGAGAAGAATTGCAGTGAAATGACTTCTCTGCATAGTTAGAAATAGCTCCCTGTATTTTGGTATTACAGGCAAAGACTTGTATTCTCCTCCTCAGGAATTATGTGAACATTCTGTTCTTTCCTTTTCCCATTACCAAATTGCCAACATTTCCACGTCACATCATTTTGAAAGCTACCAATGTGGGTGAAACATACCTAGTGTGGGGATACTCCACTTGTTTTGTTCATGTTTGTGACAATAAGGATTTGTAAAAGCAATCAGAAAAAGGAGAGAAGCAAAATCAGGTCCAAAAATGATACCTGAACAGTGTCATTTAAGAGTTGCTGAACTACAAGAGGAGCAAGTGGAAATATTCTTGCATACAGAATCTACTGAGCTCTCTCCAAGGCATTCTTCTTTTACTATTCATTGGATCTCCACCAAGGTTTCTTCACCTCTAAAATCAGAATAATACGGGTTCCCATGGGATTATGTAGTAAGGTGCTGCAGAATTTTATTTTTTAAATATGCCCTTTAGAGCAGACACAGTCACAATAAAAGTTAAAAAGTTACAATGTGTCCAGTGTATATACCCAGGAAATCTCTTCTTGGTACTTTTCAAGAGCTGCTGTTTTACTGAGTCTCTGAGAAGTCCTCTCGGATAATAGCTGCCACTTTTCAATAAGGTTCAGAACGAGTATCTTAGTATTCTTTCTATTTTGCTATGGTTCTAGTTTATCAACCTATTTTATTAGCTGAACTGTTGAACGTTGCTTGCTGACCAGTAGAAACTCATTGTGCTTTAGTTATTGGAAAGTCCCCAATGTCACGTCCATTTCATTCTCCGGTACAGGGAAGAGCCATCCTTGGGATTATATTGGCGATCACAAGTCTGGGACAGTTCTTCATTAACTGAAAGGAAAAATATTAGTTAATAATTTGGAGACATCTGAGTGCCACTGGTCATTTAGAGTTCATAAGGGGTATTGGCCAGCATATCTGACACTGAGCCTTGGCAAGTCACAGAAGTCCAGGTCTTCCAAGCAGGTCATATTACAGGATCTATCCTTACTTCCTCAGCCACAGCCAGTGGAAATGTAAAGGCTTCTTTCCAAAGAATGGCCCTGGTTAGAGCAGACAAATTACCACTGTAATGAGAATTGTTACATGCTAAGTATATTTAGATTTTGTTGATTAAGTTGAAACCCCCAAAGCAAGTCACAGTGTCTGCCCCTGCTCATCCCTCCCAAAAATGTGTTTGGGCTTTAAGAGTCTTTGGACAGGTCAAATTAGTTTCTCCCTTTTACCTTTTGGCATATTTTACGGATGACTCTATTTCAACTTTTTGCAACCTGCTCATTCCTTAACCCCTTAATATATAATTTCAGTTAAAGCTACTCTACTAAAATATTAAAACTCAACCATGACATCAAATTACTGAATCTAGTGGCATTTTCCAATCCCTAGTTTTCTTCCTCAGTAGCATTTGACACAACCCCTCTCTCAGCCTGCCCCCATCGTTCTCCTCCCTTTGGCTTTTATAGTGTGCCACCTCTGTGCTTTTATCTGCTCCTTGGCTTCAACTATTATGTCTGTGGTGATAACTAGATTTGATCTTTAGCCCTGAGATCCCTTTTGAGATCCTGACACATATTGGTTGGGATCTTCCTGGCACATCAGAAGACACAGCTCTCTTCCTGAAACCAGTATACACAACTGATCCTGCTTTCACCCTCAAAAATTTTGTTTTCAGAAGTATAATTAATCAAGCCAGAGACCAGGAGCTTCTAATCTCATGGGAGATAACAAACATGTTTATAGACTTGAACCTGAAAATGCTCTCCTAGGCTCCCACATAAAGCCCATGCAATTTATCCCTTGCTTGATACCTTGTATGCCGTGTACCCCAGGACACATGCACTTTCCCTGACCAGGCCTCCACAAATGCTTATCATGTTAGTCAGGGAACGTACATATGCGTTGGAGAGTGAAAAGCCCCCAATGACATGGGCCTCAAGATTTAATAGCCAATACTTACTGAGTGCTTGTTCTGTCCCAGGCACTGTGTGAAGCTCTTTGCAATCTTTGTCATTCAATTCTTGTGATGACACGATGAGCTAGTCATCATTATTAAATTACTGATGAGCAAACTGGGGCAGAGAGATGTCATGATGAAGTAATTTGCCCAAGATCAGAGAAACATGAATTCAGGATTTGATCCCAGGCAGTCTGACTTCAGAGACCACACTTTCAGCTGCTGAGTCACACTGACTTTCCGCAGATTATCACTATTTCAAAGGTATTCCTTTGAGATGGCCCATGGCTTAGACTTTTAACTCACTGAAATATGAGTAATTTATTCCCTTTTATTCTTAATTGCCAATGGCTAGCTGCACAATAGGGTGCTTTGAATGAGGGACCAGTATACAGATTATAGAGCTGAAAACGGGTGACCTGAAGCATGAGATAGAAAAAAAGTGAACTTGTAAGAGTGGAGAGAGAACTGGAATGGAGAGGCCAAGAGGAAGCTCGTCAATCTACAGTGAATCATCTACCCATTGAATAAAGTGTCTCTCTGCTAGGCACCAAGTGGAGTGTGAGAGAAGTGAAATAATGCCTCCCTCACCTAAAAGAGCTTGCAATTTGACTGTCATTTCATTTCATTGGGTCTATTTAGGAGTGTGTGCAGAGAGATTCGATAGGCAGGTGGCCTTGAAAACACCCAAGGTTGTGGTTGTGGAAAATCCTGCAAGCAATGCAGTGTGCCCTGTTAGATCACAGGTAAAGAAATGTGATCTGACTCAGGCAGATCTTTATGTGGAAGAATCACCATCATCAATAATTATTATGACCCCTGTTATATTAAGAGATTGATCAAATTCTTCAAAGATTTTGTAAAATTCTTGCCTTTTTAAAACTGTCCCACAGTTGGTGGTAAGTTGTTTATCTGCCTGGACCAAAAGGATTCAACAGATAGAACCCCTACTGAGGACTCGATACTCCAGAGGTGGTATGTGGGTGAAGAGGGTTATCTCAGGAGCCAGCCAGGGTTCGAATCCTCTTTCCACCACATTCTGGGTAGGTAACCTTGGGCAATGTACTTAATTATCCCAAGACTATTTTAATAATAGCTACTGTAATGCTATAATGACACAAACAGTGCCTTCTTAGAATTCTGAAGCCAGCAGGGATAATAATGACTAACAGTTGTTCAGAACAGGCACTGTTAAGAACCTTATATGTATTACCTCACTTAATCACCATACCAGTCCTCTAGTATGTCCTGCTGTTATTTCTATTTTACAGAGCAGGAGACTGAAGCTTCAAGAGGTTGAGTAGAGTGAATATGAAGTTCAGTGAAAGATGCCTAGCCAGCCTGTATATTATCAGTGCTTTAGTTATTTGTTTTAGGATGTACATTGCTGAAGACCAAGACCTGGTCAACTACCTGACTTTCTTTTTGGGTCCAACTCCGTGCAAAAACATTTAGGCATTTCAGTAGACACATTTAAAAAGTTTTTAAAATAATGACTATTTTTGGCCATGTTTGTCATTTTAGACAACAATTTGTTCCTGATCAGGGTGATGGTGTTTTGGGGGTGGGGTGGCCTGGAAGTAGAGGTTTGGGAATCTCAGGACTTGGGGAAATAAGAAAATGAAAACTTCCAACCTAGAAGGTGCAAAATGTCCATGACAATGGCTGATGCAGGGTTTGGCTATGGGAAGTTCAAGACTCACACTTCCACCCCCAGAGCTACTCCTCAAGGAAATTGACACAGATTGAAGAGTGAGGGATGTTAGAGAATTTTCTTTCTTCCTTTGTGAGAAAATTGATGTTCTCTACATATTAATTAAATTTGCATGCACCATTACCTCCTAAGGCTTGAAGTGTGGGGATTAATGTTGAGTGATTACAATACCTCCACATGCTTTCCATCACATCTTAAAATGGCTCTCTTGTCTGACAGACCCAGCTGTATGAGACAGACAAGCTGGTTTTCTGTTTTAGAATGCAGGACTCTGGGGTTCTGTGAACATGCCAGTTAATCTGTCAATGTCCTTCTCTTTACAGGAACAAAATAGAAATGATTACACTTGCCATAACCCTGGTTGGAAGATTAACGACATGACATTTGACCATCTGTTTACAGTTTTTTAAGTGGATGCTGCGAAATGGAGATACAAACTGGTGATATTTTATTTTGAGTCCAGTCATCTCATTTGCCTTCAAACTGGAGAGAAGACAGTACTACTTACCCTTAGGAAAATGGTGCCAGAAAGAACTATAATTTTTCAAAGCTACATACTCTTAGAGTTTGGGTGGTTTTTCTTGTTAGGAGAAAGGCATATTTGGAATTAAAGCGACCAGATCAATATAAAAATGAAAACATCCATAGTCTATAGTTGACTACTAACACTGGAAAATATAATCAATAATTTCTCAAAAAAAAAAAAATAGATGCAGTGATTCCATGTGGGAGAGGAGGGAAATACAACCAAAAGATGGTTTGAATATAAACTTCAGGAGAGAATATATACTACAGCTTGCCCATCAGCTGCTACCCTGACCAGGAATCTGTCAAAGACACCATCCAGGGCCCCCACTTTCCTCACCCAGCTTGCGTTGGGCCCAGTCTCAACAGAACAAAAACTGCCATCAGGGAGGACTACTTTAGTCCACTCAGCTATGCTGCCCTTCTTACAGGAAAGGGGTCTGGATCCAGACCCCAAGAGAGAGTTCTTGGATCTTGCACAAGAAAAATTCAGGGTGAGTTTGTAAAGTGAAAGCAAGTTTATTGAGAAAGTAAAGGAATAAAAGAATGGCTAGTCCATAGGCAGAGCAGCCCCGAGGGCTTCTGGTTGCCCATTTCTATGGTTAGTTCTCGATTATATGCTAAATACGGGGGGATTATTTATGCCACCCCTTTTTAGACCATGTACGGTAACTTCCTGCCGTTGCCAGGGCATTTGTAAACTGTCGTGCTGGTGGGAGTGTACCAGTAAGGACAACCAAAGGTCACTCTCGTCACCATCTTGGTTTTGGTGGATAGGTTGTGGGTGGCTTCTTTCTGCAACCTGTTTTATCAGCAAGGTCTTTATGACCTGTATCTTGTGCTGACCTGTCTCATCCTGTGACTTAGAATGCCTCAACTGTCTGGGAATGCAGCCCAGTAGGTCTCAGCCTCATTTTACCTAGCCCCTATTCAAGATGGAGTTGCTCTGGTTTGAACGCCTTTGACATCCTCACTAAGCATCCTCCAGATGGTTGGCCGCCACTAGTAATAGTGCTTCTAGTCATTAGTGTTCTTTCCAACAATGCATTTCAGATGAGACCCCCATTGTGTTAAGTAACCGATGCACCAATTTTTGTTCTGCCATGATAAATAGCTCCTTCTGCCTCCTCAGTCACTCTTCCTGTAAATCCTACCTGCAGCCTGGAAGCTCCAGGCACACTTCAATTAGAGCAAGCCCAAGTAGGAGACAATGGGGAAAAACCACAGAAAATGGAGGCTCATTACCTGGCTGAGGGTGCCCCTTCACTGCAGAGGATCCTGCCTCTGGTGAAGTGCTCAGCCCTGACATTTGGGGAAAAGACTAAAGGGAAAAGTCCAGGTTATTATTGTAGCTCTTTGATCAGACATTTAATGAGGCCAGAGTCAGAAACATACAGATTTGCAACATCTCCTCTAACTTCTGCTGATTTTGACAGATGCCTTATGTGGTTTTCTAGAACTGGGATTATTTTCTCTTAGTCTAAAAAACCCATAGTAAAAATCCATTCCAGTATCTGGGACAATCTCTGGTATATGATAGACTGACAGATATTTGTTGAATAAATGAATGAGAATTATCACTATCCAGAATATGACGTAAGTTTGGAGTAAGCTTTAAAGTTGGTGTAACGGTTCTACCCAGTGATCATGGACCCTCATCGTGAGAGGCTGACATGCTTGCTTTCCCTTGAGTTAGATCCTATGCTACAAAAATAAAGGCTCTGAGATGGAAGGGACAGACTTACAGTTGTGGGCAAGTCTAGAAGTCAAGAAAAGTCAGTAGTGCGTCAGAATTTGGAATGAAGAAGGGGGAAGGAAGTGTGAAGAAACGAGGTTATTGGGAGCCTCTGCTCCCTTCACTCAAATCCTTCAGAAGTAGTTTCAATTGTATTGAGTTACAAACTTGTAGTAACTTCTGTCTGAGACTTGATCTCTAGATCACTTGCACAGTCAGGGATGTGCTGAAGATAGGAGGGCATCACCGTGCAATCATCACAGAGATGTACACACATGGAGCGGGCTGGCACTTGGACTGCATTTCCCCTGCATCAGCCCCTGTGATGCCAGGCCGTACCCTGCACGTTGACTTTTCCAGGGCATTCTAAAGGAATGTGATTGATACATTTATACCTCAGAATTATCTAAATAAAATACCATAGACCCATTTACATGTTACATATTACAGACATTTTTCCAGGAACGAGTAAAACTATAAAACAGATTCACCCTCTTTTTGCAGAGTCTATCCCAAATACCAGATGTCCCACTGAATTAACTGGCCTGTAATAGCTGGGAAGTAGAGGCCAATAAAGGATCTTGATATCCATGAGGCTATCTAGACCTGTACTTGCTGCAGTTTTTGAAATACTGAAAATTTCATCTAGCCAAGGAGGCAGCTGGAGATGAAACTTGGAAACTACAGGAAGTCTCCAAGTCCCCAATGGTGACATCAGCATCCTTTTATTGTCCCTGGGACGTTCAGTGTTAATGGGAGGCTGAGATGCAGTGAGTGTTACTGATGGGAATCTTTGCAACAACTCTGAAAAACTTTTCGACTTGGAAGACACTGAAGGGAAGCCATGATTAGGGTATTGGGAATTTCTTATTTTCTCTTCCTTTTTGGAGGCTGCTTCCGGGATTCAGTGGTAATGAATGGCCGGGTGACAGAGCATCCAACAGACTGGTCTTAGGGCAGTGGAGGATAAACTGACTTAACAAAGAAAAGGATTTATCACATGAATATTAGAGAGTGAGGCAGAATATGGCTTGACCACTCAACAATAGGGCTGTTCATAAAAATGAGACACACAAAAAATGAAAGGCTAGGGGGATATTTGAGTAAGTTATGATGAAAAACTTGATTCCATGACATACTCTCTGTGTCTTCTAGGATTACTTTATGTTCTCAATCTCATCTTAGGAACAAATATCCCTCATTGTACTTCTGTTAGTTAGGTTGTATATTATAGCATTAGTGATTTAAGATTTTGAACATCTGTCTATATAATAACATACATGAAGGCATTTCTTGGACCTGCCAAGCTTTTGTGGAAGAGGAGGGGTTTTCAAATTTGTTTTAATATGACACTATCCAAATTAAGAAATATGACTGGTCTTTGTTGATTTTACTAAAATAGTTATTGTCCTTGATGATATTAATCTCATGTGTACTTGGCACAGTATTAACACATAGTCTATCTAATTACAGCCCAGTTTCATTAATTTTAATTATAGCAGAATAAACAGTGTCAATCCAAGACCCAAATGTCCATTCCAAATCACCTTAAGCTTCCTGAGTTTTTTAGTTTTGTTTTGTTTTTTCCACCTTAAGACTGTAATCCCATGGAATGTTTACACCAAGGTCAAATATTTATCTATCAGGGCTTTACATTTACAAAGACTGTGACAGCAGAATGTTTGGAACATTCCCTGACCAGAAGTTCAGTGGATGAGAAAATTGTGTGTGTGTGCACACACATGGGCACATACACACGCACGGACATGCATGCACATGGCCACATACACACATCTGTAAAGAAGGCAGACCATGATCAATGTTTTCACGTACGTGACTCTATTGCCTTGAGAGAGAGAGAGACAAGCAGCCACACGTCAAAATTGCTGATTCACAGTGTATCTGTGATGTGCTACAGGTGAGGCCCCCTACGGCAGGCCTTCACATCCCAGCACAAGATCCACACAGTGGATCAAACTTGGCCAGATTGGTCAAGGAACTTGAGAGAACACTGATTGAGAGACCTACAAAAAAAAAAAATGTGTTTCTCCTGGCCAGAAAACACTGACAGTGCATCAGTATATTTCAAGGTGTGCTGTGGGAAAGGATGCCCAAGTCCTTCCATGTGTGGCCTCACACTTACCCTCAATCAGTTTGATCCTGAAGTAGGCGATGAGGAGGAGCAGCAGCAAAGTCACAGGGAGGAAAACCCCAGAGAACAGGAACCAACCAGGGAGCTCCCTCATGAAAGCTGACAGTATAGAGCCCATTGCCAACCACACAGACCCCACGGAGACCGTGGGAGTCACAGTCGGGACCAGGGCAACTTTACTCTGAGGCTGCACTTGTTTTCTTCTGGAGCTCTGGCCTTTGCTCAGCATGTCTCAGTGGAACTTTGTGTGGACTTTGCTCTATTTAAATAGCCTGCTGAATTCTGATAGGATTGCTGGCAGGTTACTCTGTAACTCAGCTACTAAGTGTAGAGGAATTGAAAAGTCCGTCTTCCAAGCTCTTTCAGAGATAAGTATGTATCTGGCAGGGGGTAGAGATGACCCTGGGAAGCTGAGTTTTTTTTCTGTGACAAGTTTATTTGGAATGAAAATTACCTGACTAAGCATACCTCGTTATTACATATATTCTTTCTATGTATTCTCAGACATAGAAGAGTTTTCCCTGTATTTCCTAAATTTTAGACTTAGAATTTTCTTAATAGTTATGTCACTGTACCTAAGTACTTATGTCTAGAAAAAAGTGAATTTTCCTTTATGCATAGTTGATACAACTAATATCAAGGAAAGAGAAACGAGGCTTTTCCCACATGTAGAAATTCTTCCTCGTATTCCTACTCAGAATATTTCTCTGAGGAGTGCACTGGTTTACTCATTTATTCAACAAACATTTAATTCTACTAGAACCCAAACTCTGGACTAGGCCAGAGAGTGTCTTATGAGCTGAGGCTGGAAGAATGGGGTGGTGTCAGAGCTTATAGACGCCTCAATGTCCTGCTACGTTCCGTGCTATTTGAATAAAAGTGACCAATTAAAGGTCTTTGATCATGGAAATGTATGATCTGGCTTAGCTCAGTGAGCACTTAGGTAGTACTTTAAAGAAGGGACTAAAGAGAAGAGATTAGAATAAGCTGTCTCATCATTGTAGTAAGATATAATGAGTTTGGGATTAGAGATGGCAGAGGGAGAGACAAGGGGACAAGAAAGCTGCAGAAATGAAACCAACAGCCCTGACAGACACAATACAAAGATTACCACAAAGTAATCTTTGAACACTTACTATATGTCAGGCACAATATAAAACGGTTTATGTTTATAATCTTATTTAATCCTCACAGTAATCTTATGTGGAACAGACTCATAAAGATGGAGAAGCAAAGCAAAGAGAAGGTAAATGACTTGCCCAAGAAAAAAATCTGGTAAGTGACAAAGTTAGGACTCAAATCCAGAGCCCATGCTCTCATCCACTGTGCAATGGTTAGCTGCAGAGATGGTGGTACTGCAAACCGAGACCTCAACACATGCTGGGCAGCAGGTGTGGATGGGGAAAGATATGTCATTTTGCAGTCTTAAATTAAGTTGGAAGTGGTGTAGAGGTGTTCGATCGGAGCCTGGTAGAAATATGGAGAGGCCAAGTCTTGCCATATAGATTTGGGATTTATTATTATATAGATAGTAGCTGAGATGGAAGGATGGAGAGATGCCTCAGAAAGGAGTATATATCAGAATAAAAGAAACCAACTACAGACCCTAAAGAATGCTCTCATTTAAGACATAGGAGGAAGGATAAGAACCAAGAAAAGAACCTGAAAAGAGAGGAGCCTCTGAGAGGTGGGAAAGAAGCCTAGAGGGAATAATGTTAGGAATGTGGTGGCAAAAGAAAGTTTCAAGAAAGAGAGGAGATAGGTAGTATCATCTACAGGATCCAAGGTAATCCTGATCCACACTGAAAGTTTTGAGAGCATACTTGTAAAGATTTTCTTTTTTTGTCTCTTTAAGTAGCTCATTTGGGGTATAATTGGCATACAATGAACTGCACATACCTAAAGTGTACAATTTGACATGTTTTGACATATGGATATGCCCACAAATTGATCGACACAATCAAATGGTGAACATACCCACCACCCCCAAAGTTTTCTTGTGTCCTTTCCTATCCCTGTCCTCCACCTCTCCCACTCCCTCAATTCTCAGGCAATCACTCATTTATTATCTGTTACTGTACATCCATTTGCACTTTCTAGAATTTTATGAGTGGAGTCATGCAATATGTCTCTTTCTGCCTAGCTTCCTTCACTCATCATAATTATTTGAAATTCATTCATATTGTCGTATATGTCAGTTTCATTGTTTTGTATTGCTGAATACCATTTCATTATATAGATATTCATTTGTTTATTCATTCACCTGTTCATGGACATTTGGGTTGCTTCCCATTTTAGGCTAGTACAAATAAAGCTGCTATGAACATTCCTGTACTAGTCTTTATACATATATGTGCTTCCATTTCTCTTAGAGGAATACCTAGTAGAAATGCTGGCTCATATGGTAAATATATGTTGACATTTTAAGAAATTGTCGGACTGTTTTCCAAGGTGGTTATACCACTTCATAACCCCTCCAGCAGTGTATGAGAGTTCCAGTTCCTTCACATAATCAGCTTTTCTTGGTATGGTGACTCTTTAATTTTAGCCATTCCAATGGTGGGAAGTGATATCTCATTGGTTTTAGTATGCATTTCCCTAATGATGTTGAGCATCTTTTCATGTGCTTATTTAATAATTGTGTATCATATTTGGTGAAATGCCTGTTGAACTATTTTACTGATTTTTTAAAAAAGTTGTGTTGTTGTTGTTTTTAATTTTGAGAGTTCTTCATATATTCTAGATAGAAGTCATTATCTGACATATGACATGATTTGCAAATCTTTTCTCCCAGTCTGTGTCTTGTCTTTTCATTTACCTAACAATGTCTTTCAAATATTGTAAGTTTTAAATTATGATGAAGTTTAAATTATGATGAACAATTTGTCAATTTGTTCTCTTATGGACTGTATTTTTCGTGTCTGAGAAATCTTTGCCCAACCCAAGATCACAGGGATCTATATTTTCTTCCGGAAGTTTTATAGTTTTAGGTTTTATGTTTAGGTCTGTGGTCTATTATGAGTTAACTTTTGTGAATGATGAGAGGTAGGGGTTAGAGTTCTTTTCTTTTTTTGCAGGTGGATATTCAATTGTTTCAGCACTACTTGTTGAAAAGATTACCCTTGCTTCACTGAATTTCCTTTGCACCTTTGTCAAAAATCAGAAGTCAATAATGTGTGGGTCTATTTCTGCACTCCCTATTCTGCTCTACTGATCTAATTGTTAATCATTGCACAAATACTAGTCTGTTTTGATTACTGTAACTTTATTATTTTTTACTTTTTTTATTAAATGTTTTTTCCATAGGTTATTGGGGAATAGGTGGTGTTTGGTTGCATAAGTTCTTTAGTGGTGATTTGTGAGATTTTGTTGCACCCATCACCCGAGCAGTATACACTGCACTCAGTTTGTGGTCTTTTATCCCTCACCCCCTTCTACCCTTTCCCCTTGAGTCCCCAAAGTCCATTGTGTCACTCTTATGCCTTTGCATCCACATAGCTTACCTCTCACTTATGAATGAGAACATGAGATGTTCGGTTTTACATAATGAGTTGCTTCACTTAGAATAATAGTCTCCAATCTCATCTGGGTCACTGCGAATGCCATTAATTCATTCCTTTTTAAGGCTGAGTAGTATTCCATTGTGTGTGTGTGTGTGTGTGTGTGTGTGTGTGTATCACAGTTTCATTATCCACTCCTTGATTAATGGGCATGTAGGTTCCTTCCCCATTTTTGCAATTGTGAATCATGCTGCTATAAACATGCATGTGCAAGTATCTTTTTCGTATAATGACTTCTTTTCCTCTGGGTAGCTAACCAACCCAGTAGTGGGATTGCTGGATCAAATGGTAGTCTACTTTTAGTTCTTTAAGGAATCTCCACACTGTTTTCCATAGTGGCTTTACTAGTTTACATTCCCACCAGCAGTGTAGAAGTGTTCCCTGATCACCACATCCATGCCAACATCTCCTTTGTTTTTTTACTTTTTTTGATTATGGCCATTCTTGCAGGAGTAAGGTGGTATTGCATTGTGGTTTTGATTTGCATTTCTCTGATCACTAGTGATGTTGAGCATTTTTTCATATGTTTGTTAGCCATTTGTATATCTTCTTTTGAGAACTGTTCATTCATGTCCTTAGCCCACTTTTTGATGGGATTTTTTTTTTCAAGACGGAGTTTCACTCTTGTTGCCCAGGCTGGAGTGCAATAGCGTGATCTTGGCCCACTGCAACCTCCACCTCCCGGGTTAAAGCGATTCTCCTGCCTCGGCCTCCCAAGTAGCTGGGATTACAGATGCCCATCACCATGCCCAGCTAATTTTTTGTACTTTTAGTAGATTGATGGGAGTTTCGCCATGTTGGTCAGACTGGTCTTGAACTCCTGATCTCAGGTGATCTGCGTGGTCTTGGCCTCCCAAGGATTGTTTGTTTTTTCTTGCTAGTTTGTTTGAGTTCATTGTAGATTCTGGATATTAGTTCTTTGTCAGATGTATAGATTGTGAAGATTTTCTCCCACACTGTGGGTTGTCTGTTTACTATACTAACTGTTCCTTTTGCTGTGCAAAAGCTCTTTAGTTTAACTAAGTCCCAGCTATTTATCTTTGTTTATATTACATTTGCTTTTGGGTTCTTGGTCATGAAATCCTTGCCTAAGTCAATGTCTAGAAGGGTTTTGCCAATGTAATCTTCTAGAATTTTTATAGTTTCACATATTAGATTTAAGTTTTTAATCGGTCTTGAGCTGAATTTTATATAAGGTGAGAGATGAGGATCCAGTTTCATTCTCCTACATGTGTCCAGCCAATTGTCCCAGCACTATATGTTAAAAAGGGTGTCCTTTCCCTACTTTATGTTTTTGTTTGCTTTGTCAAATATCAGAACTATTTGGGTTTATTTCTGGGTTCTCTATTCTGTTCCATTGGTCTATGTGCCTATTTTTATACCAGTATCACACTGTTTTGGTAACTATGGCCTTATAGTATAGTTTGAAATCAGGTAATGTGATGTCTCCAGATTTGTTCTTTTTGCTTAGTCTTCCCTTGGCTATGCGGCCTCTTTTTTGGTTCCATATGAATTTTATGATTTTTTCCTAATTATTTGAAGAATGATGGTGGTATTTTGATGGGAATTCTGTTGAATTTATAGACTTCTTTTGGCAGTATGGTCATTTTCACAATATTGATTCTACTCATCCATGAGCATGAGATGTGTTTCCATTTGTTTGTGTTGTCTG